CTCTGTGGACGACTCGTTGTGGGGGCAACTGTAGCATCTGAGCAAAAAACTAATATCTTGTTTACATAATAAGAGGGTGAGTTCAAGCTCACCTGCACTGGAAGAGGCCTTTGTCGCCAACGATGCAGACGGAAGGGGACGCTGAAAGAATAATGTTGTTAATTCAGCCACAATTTATTCTATGTTGAAGACACCTACCACTTTTGGTAAAATAGAGAGGATGGGCTTCATAATAGAGCAGGTTGGAGATGGCTCAGCGGAAGGACACTGAAAATTAGATCAAATGTATATGGGGAAACGACGCTAAATACCCTGAATAATGGGTTAGAAATACCGTAATCTCGTTGGCTAGGGGCTTCTTCTCAGGAGATGGTTTTGAAGCTTCGCTAATCAAAGAGCTATTGGTGGCGTTTAAATCGCTCTCCTTGTTGGGCAATACCACATCTTCACCGGCAGATGCCCTTTTCCTGGGCCTGCGTGGACGTGCTGCTGGAATTTGAGTGTTCTATTCACTGCGTAAGAAAGTATATCATAGAGCAGGTGATACATACCGGGAGTTTCGTTACGTGTTGCGGGTGACTTCGGCTTCTCGGTTGAAAGATTCAGCTTCAACCTTTTACCTTTAGTCTGCGGGGTTGTTTCGGAGGTAGAGGTCTTGAATTGTGCAAAAAGTAATAGAATATTGAGTTCACGGCAATGCAAAAAAAATAATTAGATGAGTGACTCAACATCCTCTCACCTTTCGCTTTCCTCTTTTCTTTGTAGGTACAGTTTCTGGTTCAGCGACAGTTGGGACCTGAAAAGCGCTTCTAATTTCAAATCCTCCTTCACATGTCTTAAAAGTGACTACGCAGATGCGCTCACGTAATTATACTGCGGCATTCTACATATCCATAAAAAGAAGCGCATGCTGCAGGAACAAGATCGGGGTTGATTCCTTTTAAAGACATTAATACGATCACGCCAACAAGTTTGGCTGTCGGACACTGTCGCGAGCTATTGCTCTGTGAAAAGAAGTGCTTCCCGGGACACTTTTGGCCCTACAGATGCTGCTGAAACTTTCCTTCCGTCCGTTATTTTTTTTTTGGATTGGCCCTGTAGAATACCTCCACAATTTTAGCGGATCCTAAGCCACCCGGCAGAGAAGCAGCGAAGGCGTCCTGTTGCTGCACACCTTCTTGGACGCGAAACATTTCACAGCATCATGCATCCATAACCTGAAGCG